CATTCCACTAGTGACTGGCAGATGTTAAAGTAAAACCAAGTGATAGAATACAATAGACACTTAAGGCTTTAATTTCTTAATATTTTTATAACTTGTCTTCCTAATTTCATAATTGTGACAGTAAATTTACAACCCTGCACAAAACCACACACAATAAAAATAACAAAGTTTATTATTATGCAAGGAACTTAATTTTGGAATATATTTCTTATAGCTACAATTCTTTCTCTGTCTCCTTTTGAACTCCTTCTCTTCCTTTATCTGTTCCTTAAATATTGATTTTTATCAAGGGTTCTATCCTGACCAAATACTGTTCTTTTTTCACTTTTATTGAGATATAATTGACATACAACACTGTATAAGTGTAAAATGAGCAACATACTTATTTGATATATGTGCATATTGTGAAATGATTACAATAACTTTACTTAACATCAATCAACTCACATAGTTATACATTTCTTGTAATGAAAATGTTTAAGATCTTCCCTCTTAAAAACTTTCAAATATACACTAGTATATTATTGTGTTGTTAACCATAGTCACATGCTGTACATTATACTCCCAGAACTTACTTGTCTTATAACTGCAAGTTTGTACCTTTTGACCATCTTCATCCATTCTCGCCACCCCCGCCGCCACCCCCAATGCCTGACTCTGGCAACTACCCAATCTGTTTTCTGTTCTATGAGTTTGGGTTTTTTACATCTCCACATGTAAGCGAGATCGCGCAGTAGAGGTTTATCTCTATCTGACTTATTTCACTTAGCATAATGCCTTCAAGGTTCATCCATGTTGTCTCAATTGGCAGGATTTCCTTCTTTTTGTATTTTTTATTTTTTAATATTTTTTATTGATTTTTTACAGAGAGGAAGGGAGAGGGATAGAGAGTTAGAAACATCGATGAGAGAGATCGATCAGCTGCCTCCTGCACACCCCCTACTGGGGATATGCCCGCAACCAAGGTACATGCCCTTGACTCGAATCAAACCTGGGACCCTTCAGTCCACAGGCCGATGCTCTATCCACTGAGCCAAACTGGTTAGGGCGGATTTCCTTCTTTTTAATGTCTAAGTTATCAACTACTGTTCTTAATGTAATCTAGTGATTCTTGAAGTGATTCCTTGAGCCTCTCACCTTTGCTTTCAACAATAACCATAATAGATAAAATATTAAATAAGATAATGTAACAGTGATATTAACAACTTAAACACTTCCCAGAACCACTGATAGAATAGAAACTGCTGGATTCTTGAATGAGAGGCAAAGGATTCCCTACATCTGTGAGGTGCCACACTTGCCCACAGGGAGTGCAAATCAGTGTCATGTTTACTGACTGAAATCTGAGATAACAGGAAGTTGAATAACTGACTATCCCCCTGAAGCCTGGTTTACATAGAGCTGTGTAGGAGGGAGGCCAGAAGAACCAGCTACAATTTGTCAGTCAGAATCTGGGGCAAACGGTTGTTTGACTTGGTGACTAGATCTATGATATCTTCGTTATCAGAGATTGTGAGGTTGGGGTAGAGAGCAGCACTGGCTAGCAATGAGAGAATTTTTAAAAATCCTTCTCACTTATGTTGGGACTGAAAACCAAAATCCCAAGACATGTGAAGTCATACCAAAAAAAAAATAAATTACCAGCGAAAGTTTAAAAAACAGGCAATGAAGTCATTCCAGATGACATAAAAATAATAGATAAATTTCAGAATTTCCAAGTAAGCATGTTAGTATCCCTAAAGACACAAAATAAGAAATAACATCAATATAATTTTCCAAAAAATAAGTAGAGGTAAAACAATAAAAGTGACCATGGGAAAAATATCAATTAGTGGAAATAGTAAAAATAAAAATTAGTAGATTGGAAGATAATTCTGAGTAAATTCACCAAAAATGCTGCACAGAAACATATATAAATTAGTGTAAAAGACAACTTAAGACATATGTCTGATATATTATGAAGCTTACACATACATTTCCTAGAGTGTTCCAGAAAAAAGGAGATTAGAAATAAAGAAACAATTTTAAAAAGAAATTCTTAGAGATTTTCATAATTTAAGAAAGATGTGATTCCTAAGATCAAAGTTTCTACAAAGTTGAACAATCACTATGCTCTTTCCCTGTAAGAAGAGTAATAAATACCTTATTGCAACTCTGTAGAATACCTATAGAGGACCCACAATTTGTTAGAAACAAAATAATCTAATCCTATAGATTCTGTCCTATATTTTGGTTAAATAAATCAATTAAAAAACAATTGTTAAATGTAATTTAAATAAAAGTACAGCCATTATGATATTTTTTCTCAATAGAGAAGGTATAATTTCACTGTAACAAATGTCTACAGCTGCAGGGGTACAGAAAAATATTGAAATTTAGTGGCCATGAGAATTAAGGAAGTAAGTTGAGGAGTGTCATAATCCTATCACATGTCCAGACCACTCTATTGCCCTTGTTGTGAGCTCATAAATGCAAACACACACACACACACACACACACACACACACACACACCACACACACACTAAACTGGTGTAATATAATATCCTAGAGGAAGAACAATGAATCGCCAATATGTTTTAGATAGAGTTAAGAGAAATAACCCCAGAATTAATTTGTGAACATATTTCCATTGTTTCCTATTAATCTAATACATAATTTAAACTTCTGTGGAAAACTAGCCTTACATAAGAAAATATATACCTTCTTAAAACCAGGGCTATAAAATAATGCTAAGGTGGATTTCAGTTTTTAAACGATGCCTTCACCTCAACAAATAATCAATAAGCAAATATGAACAGAAGAGAGCGAAGACATAAGTTTAAGATTAATTGTTAGGAAAATTAAACAGTTGATCTTTTTTCTTTTGTTTATCACAATTTATGTCCTTCCATGAAAGGGAACCTCATTCATTTGTAGCCCCTCCCCATAGCAGAGTAACTTCTTGAGTTGTGGTTAGCTATAACCAAGGAAAATAATGAAGTTGCCTTTAATTTCTTGTCTCTTGACTGGTTTGAAGAGAATAGGTAAGGGGTAAACATTTTTTTTCATAGTATCAATTTTTTTTGATACTAAAGGGAGAAATTTTCAAAAGGCTGATCTCTTGACAAAGCCTTCCCTAAACCCTCAGCCACACCTTAACTTTACTTAATGAGATATATTAAAACAAAAAAACAAACAACTGACACCTCCTTTCTTGACTATACATATCAAAGACCTTATTAAAAACACCTTGGCAATTTTGATGAGAATATAATTTTAAAAACCCAAAACCTCAAAAGGCCCATGCAAATGAGAAAACTTCAACATTTTCTCTCTCTCAAAAAAAAAGACTTTCACTTTCCTGTACTACTAATAAACAAGTAGGAAATGTGTCTGTGAGAGAAAAGAAAGAATGACTGTAACAGGTGATGAGCATAAAGAACTCCTCTAGAAAAGGATTTATCAGTCACATTTTGCAATTATTGAAAGAAGCTTGTATCAAATCATAGGAGTAGCTCAAAATTAATTATCCTTCTTACACAGAGTTCTTGTATTAAAGTCAAGACTCTTAGTTTTGCAACAGTTGATAGTTTTCCATAAATCTTTGAAAGAGAAGAGCAAAGTAATGCCTCAAAATTGCCTTCTAAGCAAAAACACATTCATTCTTCTTTGAAAGTTTTCCTCCCTTTATTGTGAAGTTTTATTGCTTCACAGTTACTTCAGTATATTTTTCCATTTATTCATTTGCTTTAGCAACCGGAGGCTGTAAGTCTCAAAACATAAGGAGCTTCCTGTAGTCAGTTTTATTTTTAAAATGATTATTCAAAATTTATATTAAGGAGCTGCTCTTTAAATATTTTCAGTGGAGGTGAAACACATAACAATGCAGACCTCCTCTGTAAGATAGCAAAGCAGCAGTGTGGGAGATATGTTTTTCACTTCATTCATTGGCTAACATCTAATGCAGTCACCTTCATAAGACAACTGCTTTTTAAACAAACTCAATGACAGCAATAATAGTCTGGTACTTATTAAAACAATAATACTACATTTTCAGTTTTTGAAGAAGAATGTCTCCTATAACATTTCTCCCTGAAGGTTCTGATTTTTTTAAACATGCAGCACATTTAAAATAGGATTCTATTTATGCTTAAATGAGGAATTAAGCCCAATTTACACTTAGGTTGCTTTTTTCCCTCCCAGAAAAGCATGCTTACTCATTTCCAAGGCATTTGCACTGAAATATCTGCACTGAACATTACCCAGTCTTGTTTCAAGGTCATTAAAATTCAGAAAATAAACTGTGTGCAAAGTTTCAACAGAGAAATGTGAGCAAACAAAACATAAAGAAACAAAAGAAGTTTGCATGCTACTTCTCAAAACACGTTTAAAGGACCCTTTGCCAGGAATAACACACAGCGACTGTAAGAAGGCAACTGTAGAAATCAAAACACACACTTACTTTTTTAATATGTATAGATGCACTTGTTTTTCCTATTTTAGGTTAAAAATAAGAGGACACCCCAGCGAGTCTTGCTGGCAGTCGGACAACGCACAGGCCCTGACTCTTTAACTCCCAGGAATTCTCACACAAAGCTATTTCCATACACACTGTGCTACATATTCCTGAGATAAGGCAGCAAACACGAAACCATGAGAAGTGACACAAAGTTGGACTAAATGAAATGTTTACATCTCTTCTGTCACACAGTGGTTCCCCCATTATCTATTCCACACCTGATTTGCCTAAAACAATATTTATTCAGCTTAAAGAGAAAGCATGCCTTAAACAAAAGGACCATTTTAAGAAAAAAGGACACCGAGACAATACAAATATTGTATTCCTCCGTGAGCACTGCCAAGTTTAATGTGAAACCAAGCAGAAACAAAAGCAAATCGCCTTATGAGAACTTACAAGCAATGCTCTTGCTATAATTCCCCTCAGAGCACGAGAGATTTCTCCACTGGCTTTACAACAGAGAGAGTCTATTTTAAAGAAAATCTTAAATCTGCACTCACCAGGCGACAGCAACGGTTGCGTGGCGTAAAAGTGAGCTATTTTCTGCCCCTGGTCCATTTCAGTTTTGCCTATAGTTGTCCAACACCCACTAGCCCAGAGCTGCCACCCAGAGGCCCCGTGCACGAGCTGGAGCTGGCTTATTTGCCTGTCAATCTGGGTCCCGGCTTCTGCCTCGTGCGGCTGTGCACTTTGCTGAAGTTTTAATATCATTTCCACACGCTCCCCACCGCCGGGAGTACGTCATTTGTCCTTTCCCTTCAAGAAAGGCTCAAGTCACTTTGCGGGTAACTCTGGGATCAGGCTTAACGTTGTTCACCTTCAAGGGAAGGAGTTCTTGGGAAGAAGTGGGTGGAGAGAAGTAAGCTCACTACAAGGGAATTCCGAGTGTAATCAGAACGAGGAACTTCCTCTCTTTTTTCCTGCCTTGCTAGGCTGAGCGGCCAGTGCCTCTGTCACAGGAGTCAGGAATGTAAAGGGAGGACGCTGAGAGGCCCGCCAGACAAGCCTTTCTCAATCAATTAGCTTGCAGCCATTACTTGTGACCTCAGGTCAGGCAGTGTAAGTGTGTGGGGTGTGCCTTCAGGGCTCCCAGGGCTACTTACTGCAGCTTAGATAACCAAAACCAAGCAGACGCTAAGACTCAAGAAATATTTTTAATAGAAAATATGCTACAGATGTGACAGAGCACAGGTAAATTCCAAGTTTCTTTTTGCAGGAGCAGCTATTTAATTCAAATATATATATTTTTCCTATTAGGGAATCCAAACAGTATATTTTCATTTTTGCAGGAGCAGCTATTTAATTCAAATATATATATATATATTTTCCTATTAGGAAATCCAAACAATATATTTTCCCATGTTGGCTCAAACAGGATTTAGAATGAAGCAGTGAAGCATTTCTCTGATATTAAATTTATAGCTGAGAATACAGAAGTGACAAAATAACGAATATATCTTATTGATATAGAGCTCTCTTAATTACTTGGCTTCTTAGATTTGGTTTTAGTGTTCTTAAAAACTACTGACCTATTAAAAGTTAAACTGCTATAAACAGAGTTTTCTATGCTTCAGGAAATCATACGACGTTGGGGGATAGGAATAGTTGTTTTAAACACTTTCAAAATTCGTACTATCTTAATGTGATGAATTTCTCTGATTTTCATAGATACTGTAATTAGAATTTCTTTTTTGTTCTCTACTTCAGGGGAATGCTTCCTCTTTTGAATAGATATCAAAAAGTGAGAGTTCAAAAGAACAAAAACTAAGTGTAACACTAAGGAGAAACACTGCAGGTTTATTTAAACTTCATACATTAAGTTTGCGTATTCCTCAAAAACACTTAAAAAATAATAGCCACCATCATTATCGATAAGTTAGTGGCACAGACTTATCAGGGAATTTTATTTCAAATCAAATTATTCGTTTCAACACTACAAACTATTTCAGGAGCACATGCTTCCTAGTGATTATGCTAGATAATCTCCCCATCCCCCAAATAGCATCACTCAAAGATGGATTTGCCATACCCACATTCTCTCACCCTATTTACTTGATGATGTGCAGCCCTATATGGGAATGGCAATATTTCACATGGGTGCTGATCTTAGCATTTCCATCTCATTAGCCTTTATGTGACCATTTGAATTGCCTGACTTTAATAAAACAAACAAACCCAAAATGCAAGAATGAATAAGACAGGTGAGAGAAACAGGATCAAATAATACTAGCTGGGTGATAGAATCAATTTTGAAAACTACAGTTATAGAGAATATGCTAATAAGAACATTAACATTAGTATGGGTATGGGTTAAGGTCGAAATTTGGGTTTTCTACTTTTTTCAATATGCATTGGGAATCATTGATAGGTTTTGAAAAGGTAATTGATATAGCCTCTAAATAAGTTTAAAAATTATCATAAGTCAAATAACAATAAAAATCTCTTGTCAGCTTTTAGTGACTCAGTCATGCCGATTATGTACTAAAAACAGACATTACGCAGAAGCACTTTGATCTTTTTAGTCAATAAATATGTAAAAAATCGAGAATTCTAATTATTCCTTGAGAGACACCTAGTCTTTAGAAATTCTATGACTCAATGTCACTCTGTAATTCTCTGTTTCATTTTCATCTGCTATAAAAAAAGAAGCTTTTTTTTTTCTCATTCAAGACTAACAACTAACTCCTAAGAGTCAACAGGGCCACTAGCCTTATATATTAGAAGTCTACAAGCAAACACCTCAAGGGTCTGGCCTCTATTGCAACACAACTTCCGGATGTACAAAACAAAGGATTTTCTGAGAAGTGCAGAAAGGTCACTAATAACCCACATAAAACACACGCCAGAATTTGAAAGAGCGTTGGTTATTTCAGTCAATAATGTATTTTTATGGCCAGTTGACTAAAGCAACCACCAACATTACTGAATTACACACAGATTATGAAAATAATCTCCTTTGCAAAATAGTGGAATCTTACATTAAAAAGATCACTACCAGCACACTATTGAAAATAGTCTTTCAATTTTCCCCACTCACTTCCCATCTTCATGAGGAAAAAATGTACTGTGCTGGATGTGATGGAGATTGAAAGAAACATTGCAGGTACTTTTTGTTAAATTCGTATAATTTGAAAACATTTTCAATAGCTCATATAATTTTACTACCAAAATTTTATCATGTTCATTTAGAAATTTTAAGATAGTATACATAAAAAATACGAAAATAATTGAAAAGTATGCTTTAATTAATTATAAAGCCATTCAAAATGATGGAATATAATATTTCTATGTGAAGTTATAAAGATTATTATTAAGCATTACATAATAACAAATATCAGCTACTTATTATGTGGTATTGACATTTCCCACATTAATTCTGTTGTACATCTTTACATGTTTCCCTACTCTACTTATCTGCAATGCTTTGGAAGGTAGTCAACATCACTATCAAACTTCTTGTTTTCCAGGACATGTGATTAGCAGTCTGCCATCCTTAGCCAACTTTGAGTTAAAACACCAACACAGAAAAATCCAAAAACCTAAGCTTAATAGAAGCGCTCTCTGTCCCATTCTCTTAAGGCTCATGATGTTGGATTAAGCAAAACACAACAGGTGGTCTATACATGTAGACACTATTCTTATCCATTTGAAAGTCAAGGAAGTATTTCAATATGTTTTCATTAACTGCCTTCAGGCTCATGGGCCTATTCCACCAAAAACATGGATTGCAATGATTTAATCATTGAATATTAATAGAGGTGTTGCTACATAAAGTAGTATCCTCACAGCACCATTTTTTTTTCTTGTTTTGGTATAAGTAGCTAAAAATAGGAAGGCAGGGAAGGGACTGGCATGTGACACATTACTTCCCACCACATTTAGTTAAAGCAGTGTAGGTGGTAGCAGAGGTAGGCAGATAGTGGAGAGACGCTTATTAGCTTTTTATGCTTGTAAAACTACATTGTTTTGGAGTAGGGCACCACCTTACTTTAGAGAGGAAAGTTAGACTCTATGTATGCCGCCCAGGCTCTAGATGGGAGGTCTGTATACCAACCTGTCACACAGCTGGAGCTACAGCAAAGGGATTGAACCAGTATGAATGGGTTTGAAACAGCAAGAAGTGGATGATAAAAAAAACAACAGGTGTGATCTGGCTGTAAACATGACATAGGCTAATTCAATATTAGGCAAATAGAAAACAAATGCAAAATGGAGGCTATGTAAAAATGTAACAGAAAGGGGGGGAAAACATTATCAAATAGAGAGCAATAACTGGAGTATATTATTTATTACAATAGGGAGAAAACAGGCATTTTAAATTGAATTCAGAAGCCAAGAATTCGATAATATATAAAGGAGAGAAAGACCTTAAAAGACCCCAAGAAAACAAAAATGGAAATGCACACTTTCACAATGAAATGGAGTATAGTGAATAAAGAAACAAAATGAAGTAAAAATAAGAAATGACATGATTTTGTTATAATTCACTGAATTTTTCCTCTTCCCATCCATTTTAGTACTTCTGCCCTGTTACTTTTTTGGAAGAAATTAAAAGTATGTACAAAATCAGGTCCCTGTATGTATACAGCCTTTGTTTTCTCCTTTGAGAGCATATGGCAAGAGTCATTGCTTTCACTCAGTGACAAATGCCTTCTCACGGCATCTACTACTTTGACCTTTAATTAGATCTTCCCAGACCACCTAAAACAACTCATGTCTGAAACCATCCCTGTCTGGATGTGTCCCAGAGGATTGGGGCAGTAGCAGAAAAGCAAGAAATAATCTTACTCTAGTATAGGGTATGTGTAGCAAAATGATAAGCAAGTAGGGAGTTGAGTGAGTTTGTTAAAAAAAAAAAGAAAAGAAAAGAAAAAGAAGAATGAAGGAAGGAAAACATGGAGAACTCTGCATAAATGAGTCAGTCATTAATGAAAATTGAAATCTGAACAAAGTACTGGGATATAAAAGCAAAATCTCACGCTGAGGAAGAGTCCAGGTTGGCCAGTTCAATAACTTTTTTTGTTTCAATAAATACATAAAGAATTCAGTCTGGATGCTCTCATTTAAAGATCTTGTTAAAACAAACAAAACAAAAAACAAAACAAAACAAAAAACCAATAAAACAAGGAAAGATAGTAAAGTATGGAGATTAGAAATAGAAAAAAGGAGTGAGACAGAGAAAGGGAGAAAGAGAAAGAGTAATATTGAGAGAGAATGAGAGATGAACTGGCAGTAATCTGAAAAAATAAATAAATGATTAGAATGGGAGAAAGAATGGCTTCTGAAGCAATAATATGAAATGCAAATGTGTAAATGGTTCTGACATCTGTTGTTATATTAATATAAGTAGAGGTTTTAGAAGAGAATGCAGAAAATTGCCTAATTTGACTGGAGATGATAGCCGATGGGGTTGAAAAAGTTGGAGCGGTTAGAAAGTATGAGTTGGATTTAGACCAAAGAAAATAAATAAATTCACAATTTACAGGGGAATGGAGAAAAATCATAAATTGGGACAAATTAGAATGTTTTGCCTAGGGAAAGGCAAATGCTATAGTCTGATTCAATAGGAAACTCTATGAGGCTAGTTTTGAGCTCTTCAGGGGAGAATCTTCTGTGAGGCCAGGGCTAACCTGGAGTTTTTCTATCAGGATTATCTCTTGATCAGATGTGGGATGCTGAGTAGTCAGTCCACGTGAGCCTTCACGGTCAAGAGATTCCTTTCGGTCAAGTCATTGTTCTAGGACTAGGTGAAGCATGTCAAACTTGTGGCCCGCGGGCCGCATGTGGCCCACAATGAATATTTTTGCGGCCCAGACAATATAACAGTGTGTAAGAAACATTTTAATAAAAATTTAGTAACTTAATTTTTACAATATCTGGTTATACATAATTATTAATATTGAACTACAACATTCGCTAATGACTGATTACTATAATCGTGTAGCATTCATTTCCCTTATGCGCCTTATGCACAGGTGCACCATTGCTTTCCACTAATACTAGCAGCGAATATTTTAGCAGCCGATTGCCAAGTCATTAGTCTTGATTTGACTTGTTTGGTGTGAGCAACAGGAAATATTTCGCTTTCGGAGAACAAGGAAAACAGGTTTATTTGCGTTATACTTATTAATTTGTGCAGTTATTCAGTGTCTGGTAAGTTAATGTCCAAGAAAAAATATTAATTTTTATTAAAATGTTCTATTATTTTATGTTAATGATTACTTATTTATTTCAGCCCTTTGTATTCAGCATGTCTCTATTGAAATGAACCTATGTTTCTGTGGAAATTGAAGCTTTTGTTTTTTGCGGCCCACATAAACTTCAATCTTGTTTATTTGGCCCGTGTTAGCCTTTGAGTTTGACATGCTTGTTCTAGGTATTAGCAGCTACATCTACCTGGGTCCCAGACACAGACTAGGAAGACAATGTGGTAAAAAGTTCAATCAAGGAAAATAAATTAGATGCTTTGGGCAAGTGTGCTGCAGTTCACCTCAGTAAATAGAGCATCAGCCTGCAGACTGAAGGGCACCAATTGGGGTCATATAGCTTGGTGGTTGCAGGCTCCATGCCCAGTCCTGTTTGGGGCACATGTGGAGGCAACCAATTGATGTGCTGCTCTCACATTGATGTTTCTCTCTCTCTGCCTCTCGCCCTCCCTTTCACTCTCTCTCTCTCTCTATCAAAAAAGAAAAAAAAAGAGCTGAAACTCTATTTGGCCTTTATAAAAATGTTCCTGAGAGAAATCAGGGCTTTTGAGAGTAGGTATTGAAGAACATACTAACATATGACATGCTATGGCTTGAGGAGTGTGGAAAGGCAAGTCTACCAAAAGTTATCTTTCTCTTTTAAGCCTTCCTGTATTCCAAAAAATCTCCTTGGAGAATTTGGTGCTAAAACTCCCTATAGTACCAAGACACACTAATTCCTAGGGGGGGGTAAAATACTATGCCTCAAAACTTTTCAAAAATTAAATAAAGTTCACATAAAGCTTGTGTTCACCCTTACAACTATTATCAGGCTTTAGATTAGGATATTTAGAACCACCCAGGGGAAATTCAGAGACAAAGGGCATTGCCATGAAAGGCAAGCCTCCCTAGATCAGAAGAGGTAAAATCAAGTTATTACTCTGAAACCACTGGCTCTAAAACCCTAGTTATGTATTACCTAAAACTCTGGTTGCCTGTGCTGTTACTAATATTTAGACTATTAAATTAGATAATCCTAAAGAATTAATCCTATATAATAAAAGGCTAGTATACAAATTGACCAAATGGTGGAAGGACTGGTCGCTATGATGCACACTGACCACCAGGGGGCAGATGCTCAATGCAGGAGCTGCCCCCTGGTGATCAGTGCACTCCCACAGGGGGAGCACTGCTCAGCCAGAAGCTGGGCTCACGGCTGGTGAGCTCAGCAGCAGAGGCGGACATCCCCTGAGGGCTCCCTGACTGTGAGAGGGCGCAGGATGGGCTGAGCCCCTACCCCCGAGTGCATGAGTTTCGTGCACTGGGCCTCTAGTCTTACATAAAATATTATTTTTCTGAACTCTTTGAATGTACATCCCAGGGACCAGATCTAAACCTCCCTTTAGAAGAGGGTATGATGGGCTATTCAACACAAAACACAAAGGCAGTTGAAGTTTTGTGGTTCCAGTTCTAAAATTTTCAATAAAGAGCTGTTTTTCAGATCCTAACCGCTATTTAATTAGATTGGGGAATTGTTGCCATGTTTGTCATTTCGACCCCAATTGTTAGCTAAATTAATTAACTTTGAAGCTTTTAAGGAAAGGAAATTGATTCTAACTATGGCATGTGTTCAAAAGTTATATAAATATCTGAGCTAAAGCACTTTTGGCTGTATTATACAGATTACCCATTACAAAGTTTATTCTTTTCTCGCTCCCTTTCCTTTCAGAAAATGAAGCTCAAGAAATAACAGTCAAATGTTACAGGATCCTTTATGGGCAGAGTACTATGAAGGCTTGTGAAGCCATTTCCTACTTTAAGTGCATTTTCTCCCATTTCCAAACTAACAAAAATCTAAACTCCTTAATGCAGCAAAAAATGTTCATCATAATCTAACTCCAGCCTTTATAGTCTCATGACTCTATACTTCCCCACCCGTAATTTATGATCCAGACATATTAAATATCTTGCCACACCAAAGTAATTAATTCTAATTAGGTTTTTAGTGTCTCCTTCAAAAATATGATTGGGGAGTCAAGGATCATCACTGCGAATCCATCAAGAGAAAAATAGAAAATAAAATAAGTGCGGGGAAAAACTCAGAGAAATAGAGAATATGAGTGAACAGAGCAAAATTTCAAAGAAATAATAGTAATGTCCAGAAATACAAGAAGAAATATTGCTTGGTGAAACAAGACAGAATATAGAAAAGAAAGAAAGAAAGAAAGAAAGAAAGAAAGAAAGAAAGAAAGAAAGAAAGAAAGAAAGAAAGAAAATAAAAGAAAAGAAAAGTAATTATAAATTTAACATATGAACACAAAATAAAAATTAGTAAAAGTGATAAAAGATAATGAAGGGTAAACTGAAAAAGCCAAACACATAAATAAAGGAGAGAAAAGACTTTTTAAAAGTAGGTGGTCAAGCCCTGACCGGTTGGTTTGGCTCAGTGGATAGAGCGTCGGCCTGTGGACTGAAGGGTCCTGGGTAGAAAGAAAGAAAGAAAGAAAGAAAGAAAGAAGAAAATAATTATAAATTTAACATATGAACATAAAATAAATATTAGTAAAAGTGATAAAAAGATAATGAAAGGTAAACTGAAAAAGCCAAACACATAAATAAAGGCAAGAAAAGACTTTTTAAAAGTAGGTGGTCAATAAAGATAACCCAGCACTCATCATATGGTAATTCTTTAAGAAATAAATATTAGAGAAAATGTTAATAAAGAAATTGGTAAGGATATACCACAAGGAAATTTCTTATAATTGACTGTTTGAATCTTTAGATTGAAAGGATTTTTCAAGTGCCCCAAGACAGAGGATAAAGAAAGACCCACACTAAGGCATATTCTAATATATCTATAACACTATAAATAAAGATATAATCTCAAAAGCTTTTTAGTTAGAAAAGCAGGTGGTATACAAAAGATCAGGATCAAAATGACAATATCTTCTCAATAAGAGCATTGGAAATTAGAAGGTATTACAAATGCTTTTAAAATTCTGAGTGAAAATTACTTTAAATTTTTAATTCTATTCTCAACCAAAGATTCAATCGAGTATCAAGTAGAATAAAATTGTTTCTCAACATATCTTTGTGAAATATTTATCATCTATAGACCCTTTCTCAAAACATTACCAGAACACGAGCTTCAGCAAAAAATAAAAGAGTAATCAAAGGTATTACAAATGCTTTTAAAATTCTGAGTGAAAATTACTTTAAATTTTTAATTCTATTCTCAACCAAAGATTCAATCGAGTATCAAGTAGAATAAAATTGTTTCTCAACATATCTTTGTGAAATATTTATCATCTATAGACCCTTTCTCAAAACATTACCAGAACACGAGCTCCAGCAAAAAATAAAAGAGAGAGCAATCGAGAGAGAAAGAAAACCAAGTAAAGAGGACATCATTTCTAGAAAGAAGAGGGTACTAACATCATAAAATGGAAACATTTCTAGGATGATGGATAAACAATGTCTGAATTGCATATTTTTATAGATTGCTTTAGAAAACAACCAAACAAGATAAAAGCAGGAGAAAAGAGGGTTCCAGGATGGGTTTTCTTCAAGGAAAAAAAAATAAGAAAAGAAAAATGAAAAAATAAATGCTAGACCATTTGACCAACTTGTCTGTGTAGAAAGTTGAATAGAGAAGCATTTCATAAAGATTTTGGAGCTTTTGGGAAGATAGTGAAAACAGAAAGGATGACAGGAAGACAGGAAGGGAGGAGAGAGGGAGGCGATGAGGAAAGGCTATGGTGTTGGAGTTAGGGTAGAAGAACTGGGAATAAAAGAAAATAAATAAAGTACTTACTAATTAAAGGGAAATTATACCATTATAATTCTATAATTATATCATATCTCCAAGCTCAGCTACATTATTTGTATAGTCTTAATAATTAAAAACCCAGATATAGATTTAAACCAAAATGAAGATATAGTGATAATGAAAGAATTAGAGTTAAAAAATGGGTATTTTAACAAAGTTTAAAGCTTCATCTGTAGCAAAAAGAAATCAATCAATAAGATCTAACTTTAGGAATACTGAGATACCCATATGCTCATTATTTTAAAATACAGAAGTAAAATAAAAATTAAAGATGTTGGAAGTGGTTGCCCTTCTGCCCTGATGCCAAGGGCTTTATTTCTTTAGGTTTTTAACTTTTAAACTTATTTGTATTTTAAACATGTATGCATATATTTATTTGTTAACTTAATCCTCTTTCTTTTGGATATAATTATAACAATCAAATTAAATAGAAATGTGCTCTTTCTTCTTTAAAATGTTTCCACAAAAGTAGATTCTATTACTAGTATAACTTTATTAAATTAATGAATTAATGTATGAATATATGCTTTAGTAAAACATTCCGTTCTTCATAAAGAAATGAAAGATTAGTTCAATATAATATGATATATATAAACAAGTTATATGTTAAATTTGATAGTAAATATAGCTTCTTGAAGGAATCTGTAAAGAAAAGTTGATTTAAAAATCATATTTTTTAGTAAAGGGAATATGCATTCCTAAAACTGTCTCTATTATTTTTACCTGATTTTCAGAACAGTGAATTTTCTTCAGGTGAAGCTCTGGTTGAGTGTTGTTATTCATTCAGATCTTCATATCACTGTGGGCAGGCTAAATAAAACTGCTGGAGAGAAGAAATATTGACCTGTTTATTCAGCATTAGCCCTCATTCAAAGACTTTCTATAAGTATACTAATGCCAATTTTATAAACTTGTTAATAACATCTTGTTAATCTTCCTCCTCAACTCTAAAACAAATTTAATACAAAATAATGACTTACAGAGTCTAATGGCTTTTCAAAAATAATATTTTTCACAAAACACACCGAGAGCAAAGTACAAAGAGTTTACAAACAGGATGAGATTCTCCACTATTATTTCTGGAGCGCATCCTAGTCTGATGTTTTTCCTTCTGCCATTCTTAGAGAAAGTACATTATCTGCAGCAGGTCAGTTCAAATCCTACTTATTTCCTCAGGAATAGGGGTCAGGCAACATGCAGCATCCTTGGGAAAGTAGCCTAAAATTGCCAAAAAGGCCATCTCAGTAAGACATCAGGAAGCACAACTGTTTCCATTGACATGAACATAATGAAAATAAAATGCTCTAGAACTAAGTGCTTTGTAAACCATAGTTTGTAAAAATATCACACATGCTGTGTTTTGACCACCCACAAGAAATCAAAGTCACTGTATCACTCCACAAGCATCCTGGTCCTACTGATGTTTATGATTCTAAAATCAGGAGCAGGTTCCTGGGACACAGTGGCTCAGTATCTGCTAAGGCAAGGTTAGAAAAAAAAGAGCTTTAAAATGCCCTCTTTGTTCCTGACCTGCCATGGGAATTCATGGTATGCAACATCAAAGGCGAAAATCAAGGTCACCTCTGTTGGATATAGCCATGTGGGTGTGTGAATTAAAAACACACAACAGAGAACCTGACCGATTCCTATTTCAATCTGGTCTCTTCTTCGACTGCTCCTTTACTGATAATGAAAGGAGAGGCCTCAGACCACTTTCAGGATGTGCTGATTCTCAGAAAAGTGATTTAGAATGGACAAATACTCCAATACTTTCAGGCAATGAGCAATACAAAGGCAGATCAAAATCTTCATAGCTCAAAGTAGAAGACCCACCCCCCACCCCCCCAAAAAAAAATTCCGGGAATATTTCTGTTTCACCATGAACTAGATGAGAAATCAAGCTGTTCAGGCACAGCTGGAAAATGTGTAGAAGTGAACCATAACACACCTGGTTTAGCTTCTCAAGAAGCTAAATGTTTTGATGCTATGAGGACCTAGCTTGGTAGGATGTTTCCCAGTGAGCAAAAAGATCACCCATCTAGCAGCTAAGATCAATGGATCCCGTTTAGTGGTCAGACCCTCAAAGAAATGGGTCACTTATGTCCAAGAATTCAAAGTTTATATATTACAACTGGTAGAAGTGCAGAGATAAAAAAACAAACAAACAAACAAACAAACAAAAAACATGGTAGCCTATACTAGTCAAAAATAGGGGTCAACTGATAGATGCAAAGGAAGAAAAAGATACAAATAAATAAGATATTGTTAAGCTATCATTTTAGTCATTATGATGTTTCTTTTGAACATATCTTGCCTAAGCCACTTCTGCAACTGGATTTTCAATTTTCTTCCCACAAAAATTATTGTTGCACTAGAGGCCTGGTGCATGAAAATTCATGCACTGGAGAGGGTGTCCCTCAGCCCAGCCTGCCCTCTCTCACCGTCCAGGAGCTCTCATGGGTGGGAGGTGACCCTTCGATCAGGGGAAGGCAACACCCCCATCACACCTCTGCTGCTGCCATTGCCAGCAGCACAAGCCTCCGCTGGCCCTGGTTAGCTGAGTCTCAGGCGGCCCCCTCCCCCCCCCGCCCCGGCCCACGTGGCTGAAAGGACTGAGGGACTCTGGCTGAGGGGACTGGGTGCCACCATTTTTGTGATGGTCAATTTGCATATTCCCTCTTTATTAGATAGGATTACCTGCTTTCCACTTAACAAAACTCAGCTCTCTTTGAAGGCTCCTCTCAAATTGTACCTCCTTGGTAACAATTTTTTTGGCCATACTAACCATGGCAGTTTGTAATGAATTCATCTGTGCCTCCCTGGGCAGTTATCTTATACTTTCCTGAGATGTCGTGTGTGTGTGTGTGTGTGTGTGTGTGTGTGTGTGTGTTTTGTTTGTTTAAGCCAATGCCTTGTCTCCTTTGCTACAGTGCCAATCCCCTGAGGTCAAGAATCAGGCTTTCTGTTTTAATTTCCTACAGCTCTCCCCTTAATCTTATGCAATTAATATGTAATGGTTGACAAAAGAACTAGCATAAATTTTTTCATTTAGCGTAAGTAATATTGGAAGGCTCCTGCTGTCTCACAATTCATTTTAAAAAGAGACTTGCCATGACCTTGTGAAGAAATATTATCTAATCATCTAAAGCTTTTCTTTCCAATTATTTAGGAGTTTGGCTGAGAATGAAATGATAAATAATAGAGGGACAATATTTACAGAGCAGCTTCTGAGTTGCTTGTCAGTAATGCTGCAAGTTATCTTGATATTTATGGGTTCATAAAGACTTTATTTATAATTTGCCCCCTCTACACAGGAGTAGGCTGAGTCTGGAATTTATATCCAGACGTTATTTCTTTTACATTTTTAAAAATCTATATTGCTTTTTAAATGAGACCAAATTCAATGTAATTATTAAATGCTGTGTCTTAAGTATGTCTAAGTTCAAAGTCCATATACTTTTTTGAATAATATTTTTTCCCAATGAAGATTCAGATGGTCTGAGAAAAATGGGTCTTAGACTTGAGGAGATACAAAGATGTATATGCTAAGAAGTATTTTTAATCATTCACAGGATAAAATACATTAAATAAAAAGTAACCTTGGTAAACCTAAGAAACTCTATTATGTTAATGATCAACTTGAAAACATACCTAGATATTCTGAAAGTGCCTTCATTATTTATATTAATATTTTCCTTTCTTTGTTTTCTTATAGGAAAAATATACTATTTCCAATTATGAATATGCACATTATTTTAAATGAATAAAGACAAAAGAATATAAAAGACATCATTGCATTTGAGTTACACAGGAGTTAAATGCAGAATTGAGGCCCATTATGTGGTCACCTATGTGACAGCTACCTAAACGAATACAAATTCTCATGATAGAGTTCTTTCTGGCAGAAAGATGACAAGATGAAATAGACAAACATATAGGAAAAGGCACCTGAGTGCCAAAAAACACAGGTTTTGGTGCAAAAGAAAGGTTTGAATCTGTGTTCTGTTGTTTTCTACCAGAGAGACCCTGGGAAAGGAACTGAAATTCTACAGGCTCCAGTTTCTTCATCTCTACAACAAGCATGATTGTTCCCCATCCCCTGAGTGCTATGTGAATTAAATGAAACATAGAATGTAGAATGCCTAGCAGAATCCATAGAAAACTATGGCCATTCACCAGGTGTACATTCCTTTTCTGTTCTACCCTCAGATGTGTCAGTTCAAAACAGCAGATGTATAATCTTATTTGAAAGAAAAAGACTCCCACACTCAGAAAAGGTTTTATAGAGGAGCGAGGATTTGGATGGACTTTATGGCAGGAAGAAAATGAGCAGTAGAGACTGTGTTTGGAGAAAGCAAAAGGTATTTACATGAAAGTACAAGCATAAATAAAAGTAAAAAAATTATGTGGTGGAATATGCATAATTAGAAAGATGAGTTTGGGTGGAAGGCTTTATATGAAAAATTGATTATATATAAATGAAGTAAAAATGTAAGTTGAGTCTGGACCATGAATTCTAAGTGGTATAGTGGGGATGTCTTGGGATGCCAATGGAACCTTCTGAGCAGGGCAAAGACAACCCACTCCTCCAGAGGTAAGAGGCCATGTTCTTATCAAACTTGATAATTAATACTGCCAACTATGAAGCCTTTCCTAGTAAAAAATGTTTCTTTCAATCATTGCAAATAGATACTTACTCTTCATTTAAGTTTAAATTGAGCTTTCACATAAGAAAACTTTTCTTAAAGAACATCACTTTATTTTGCCCAAATAAATTACGTTTTTAAGTAGTGGCCAACAAGGCAACAAAAACCCTCTCATGTAATTATTTGTGAGCATGAAGAATTTAGTCCAGGCATGAAATAGAAATGTATTTTATTAGTCTAATACTAACAGAGCAGATCGCTAACTAAAAACACTATAATGGATTTTTAATAGTCCTCTGTGGAATTCTTCAGATATAATAAAAACTCTTAGCAGTGACAATAAATTGCATATATTATATTATTATTCAGTAAGAACATATTTTATTTGCCTGCAATGCTTTTCTAGATAGAAAGTGATTCAGTCTACTTAGTTTTATAGAAGGAGAGGGTAAAAACTACTTCTATAAAATGATGAAAACAAACAAGTCGTGTCTTAATATCTCATTGTTTTATATCATATTAATACTATTCATAATATTTCAATTCCCATTGATCTTGACAATTTAATAAAATAGATAATAAATCAATCACAGTTTTTTAAAATTGTATTCTTACTTTGATTGTTAAATTCTGGATTATTGTTAAATTTATTCCTACACCAAGAATAGCTTGCATTTTGCAGTGATTTCCCTTTTAAAACATTTTTAAAGTTTATTTTATACATAATCAAAATAGTTATGAAACAAAACCACTGTAGTAGAAGAGGCAATGGTTTTCTAAGTGGTTCTTTCCAGTGATGAGGGCCAGGTTATTTTCAGAACCCTTAGTCAAGTCTAGGACTTGATGTCCTAAGCCATGTTCCAATCCTTTAATTTAGCTGAACCCCAGTCTTGTCTTCACAAGTTAAAAATGAAATGTAGATTTTAATGAAGTCTGGAGAAAACCCATAAATATTAATAAAGTCTTATAAAAATAAGATCTATGAAAGCGCATTAATAAAAATGAGATTTGTTTTTTCACCCTGGGGAGTATGTTGAGATAAAGGAACGACTTGATAGTCCTCGAACTGCTAAACATAAAGAGGGCATCTGGGAAAAAGTTCTTGAATGATTGCATGGGCAAGAAGCGGCTATAGAGAGAAAAGTTACCATTTTGAGACTAAAGGAGAATTAAAACT